AAACACTAAATCTCAGTGGCATTTAACAAGAAGCATTTATTTCTCAAGCGTCCGTGGGTTAAATAATCTGATGCAGGCTCGAGTGGGCTGCTGTGCTTTAAGCTGAAGGTCTGGTTGGACCTGTCTCTCTCTAAGGGTTGGCCTCAGTTTTGTGTCATATGTATTCATTCTGGATCCTAAGCAGAAGGGGTAGCAGCTACCCAGGGAAGTTCTTCTCTTGGCAATAGCAGAGAAGCAAGACAATGAGTAGAAATCAGCAATGCTTCTTAAGGCCTCAGTTAAAATAGACACATATCCACTTACTCTAGATAATCCCAAACAAATCCCAGGTCATTTGGCCAAACCCAATATCAATGAATGGGGGAAATAAATGCTGCTGCCCACTCCAGTAAGTGATATGGAAGTGATTACATTTACTGTACTTTATCCTGATTCTAGTCTTGATAACACCTTTCCTAGGCAATGACATCAGCCTTTTAACTAATCACCTTGTGTCTAGTCTTCCACATCTTGTGTGCCCCCCTGCCGTTTTCTTTACAAATGCTACCAAGTAAACCTTCTTAAGCATAACTATGATTACAACACACACTTTACTCGAAAACCACAACCACTTTCTAATGTCACACCATATTGGTTAGGACTCATTTGGCTGAAGATAGGAATAGCTTATTATGTTAAAAATGGCTTACATTATTTCATATAAAAAAGAAGTGAAGAGAAAGTGTTTTGACATTGGTTTAGAAGTTCAACAATGTCATCAAAGTCTCGGTTTGTTGTTGTGTTTTTTCTTGTTTTTTTGTTTTTGTTTTTGAGGGGGGAATATTAGCTTCTTGTTTCAGCCTCATTGTCTCATGGTGACAAGATCACTGCAATAGCTCGAACCATCACATCATTGGAGAATGATGTTCAAAGCTGGAAGAAAAAGAGAGAGTCTTCTCATATGCCCCTCTCCTTTTATTAGGGAAAAAAATTTTTTCCTCTAGCTTCCCAAGTCACTTTCTGTTACGTTTTATGAACCAGAACTAGCGAATCACCCAAGCTGCTGGGGCAGTAGAAGTCAGTTGTGATAATTTTCATGTTCTTTCTTATGAGTGGCTTTTAAAAAGAAACTAGTAGATGACTGGCTTATTTATAAGAAATCAATGATATCTGTATAAACTCAATAATTTTCCCTACCTGACAAAATTCAAGATGCTTTGTAATAATATTCTCTAAATAATGAGTCTTTCCTTTAGCATACTCCATTCTTCAATTCTTCTTACCATCTTTCATGCATTTCTTTACTCTCCTACATTTTCCCAAATTTCCTTTTGTTCTCCTCTTTTACCTGTCCACCTTAGTCTTACTTATCCTTGAGGATTCAGTTCTTTTTATCTGGGAAGTACTCAAGACTGGTGTGATACTCACCATACACTCCCACGTTGCAGCTGTGCATTCCAGTTTTAGCATTTTTCCATGATGAAATGTTTTTACCTGTTTACTTATATGCTACCTCCACAAGGCAAAAAGTTTTTAGAGGATAGGGAATGAGTCTTAGTTGTTATAGCACCAGTGCCTTTTCTAGCTCTTGACACAGAATAGGCACTCAGGATTTTCTATTGCAAATAGCTGAATAAATAAGAGTAAATGCCCTGGAATGTCCTTACCTCTTTCTTCTTACATCTACCTATCAAAACCAAATCAACCGTCCCCCCAAAAAGCCCATTCTCCAAAATTTAGTATCTACTTTATTTAGGAACCTATTTTTCTTGAATGACTTCCACCTAAAAAAAAATTTCTTTCTCAGCTGGGCTCGGTGGCTCAGCCTGTAATCCCGTGCCTTTGGGAGGCTGAGGTGAGCGGATTGCCTGAGCCCGCGGGTTCAAGACCCACCTGGGCAACAAGACCTCATCTCTACAATAAATCAAAAAATCAGCCAGGCATGGTAACGCATGCCTATAATTCCGGCTACTTGGAAGGTTGAAGCAGAAGGAACGCTGGAGCCCAGCAGGTCGAGGCTGCGGTGGCCGGGAGCGGCCACTGCACTCCAGTCTGGGTGACAGAGTGAGACTCCAACTCAAAAAAAAAAAAAGCCGGGCTCAGTGGTTCAGCCTGTAATCCTGCGCCTTGGGAGGCTGAAGTGAGTAGATTGCCTGAGCCCGCGGGTTCGAGACCCGCCTGGGCAGGCGAGACCTCATCTCTACAATAAATAAAAAAATCAGCCGGGCGTGGTAGCACGTGCCTGTAATTTCGGCTACTTGGAAGGCTGAGGCAGAAGGATTGCCGGAGCCCAGCAGGCGAGGCTGCAGTGACCGGGAGCGGCCACTGCACTCCAGTCTGGGCAACAGAGTGAGACTCCAACTCAAAAAAAAAAAAATCCTCTTTCTCACTCTCTCTCTCTCTCTCTCTTTCTCATCACACACACACACACACACACACACACACACACACACACACACACACACACACTACACACCACATCTGCACTAAATGATACAAAAAAGACCTTCACTAATGGACAGCTTTCTTAGCATTCAATATGCTTTATGACACCTACTATATTCTGTTTTGTATATTCCTTGAATACTTTTATTAGCTTCTACAATATTAGAAGCTTCTTAATATCTTTATTACAACTTAATATGTTTACCACATTGCTGTGGAATTAGAAGATATCAATAAATATTTGTAAAATCAATTTGAATTATGAAGCCCATTAATGAGTTTTATACTTCATGGCAATTCTTCTTCCTGATTATAATCTCTCTACAATTTAAATCATTTGATCTGAAGTTCTGGATTACTTTTTCCTAAATAATATTTCATGACACTCTTTCTAATAGTGAATACTCCGTGTTTTGAGCAAATCATTGTTACTTGACCAAGTATTCAAAGTAAATAATCATGATTACTTCCCACTTTTCTATACTATATCCATGTGTTTGGAGCTTTTCTTCCTTCTGTCTTTTGGATAAAATATACATATTCAAATTGAAGCATATTATTAATAGTGTCTTAGCCTTAATTGTATCCTTCCATGCTAGGTTGTCATCAATTCAAATCCTTTTGTTTTCCTAAGAAATGAATGAAAATTATGACTTCCTGGAAGTCTCCTACACTCAATTTTGAGTATCTCTTTATAACAATATATCACTTAATGTTCTTTTACCCTTCAGCATATATTTTTCTCACTACTGCTACATATACTTTTAAAAAATGTACTGACTACCTCCCCTGATGATTAAGACAATGACTTGCAGTCTGTCATTTAACAAATGTTATTGAACTTCTAGTATGTGTCAAACACTGTCTAGGCACTGGAGATTCAATTATTAAGGAAACTAGGTACAGTCCTTACTCTCCTGGGTTTTGCATTCTACTCAAGGAAACAACTAAGCAGAAAATACATCATTCTCATATGTCAGCGGAGATAAGAAAAGTAAGGCAGAGAAAATAACAGAAAATAGTGTGGAGTGGAGCCATTTTTTAAAAAGTGTGTGGGAAAGATTACAATAAGAAGTTGCCATTTGATCAAAGACCTAGGGCAATAGAGTTTCATGCAGAAGAAAGTGCAAAGTCCCTGAGGCAGGAGAGTGCTTGGAAGAGATGAGAAGCAGCAATGAAAACAGTGGGGCTGCATGCAAGCTTAGTGAGGTGGGAGAGAGGATCCAAATGAATTAAATCAATTAATTAGTTGAGGTCAGACCATGTACTACCTTAAGAGCCACAATATGAACTTTAATTTTATTCTGAGCAAAATTCTAAGCCCTTGGACCCACTCAATATGTGTTTCGTTACCAGTCAACATCGATGCTACTGAAAAAAATTTCTGGAAATGGATGGTGGTGATAGTTGCACAACCTTATGAACGTACTTGATGCCACTGAACTGTACACTTAAAAATGGTTAAGGTGATAAATTTGACATCATATATAGTTTACCACAGTTATAAAAAGCAAACATTCAAGGGTGAGTACTGTGGGCCAGAATCTATGCTAAATAAGCACTGGTGACTATAAGAAGACATAGATGATTCAGGCGCTCACAATCTGCTTTGAGAAAGTCTATTCCCTATATTATCGATTTAAATACACAATGCACAGTAGCATAAATCATGTTCCAAATGAGAGGACTAGGCTAGATTTCACAGTATGTTCTCAGAAACATTAGTCTGGAGATATGCTCTTTGAAACAAAAGGATCTTGCTCGGATAAGTTCAGGAGATAATGCATCTCCTCATGGAGACTCACAGCCCACCTCAGCATATCACAGGCTCTAAAAATAAATACATGTTAAAGAAACTCACTTGACTTTGTTTAGCTTAATGTTGCTAAGCCATTTTGATCACAGGTCCTTTCTCCTGAATCACCTATTAACACCCTGAGGAATGGCATCCTAAAGGACCTTTGTCACAGGAGACACAGAGCTGAGATGGGAAGGAAAGAGTTCATGGAGAAAAAGTGATATGAGCTGAGTTTTAAAGGAAAGGTAATACTTAGACTAGAGAAAAGGAAGGGCACACAAAACAGGATAAGTGATAAGTCAATCACTTTAAAGTAGGTCTCCTGGAACTTGCCTCTTCAAATATTATGGAACTGCAGAATGAAAATCCTAAATATGAATCAAATCCTAATTTTGATGACCATGGCTTGGTAATCTTCTTGTTAAACACTCGGGACATCAAAGACACAAAGATGAATTATTTTGTGGAAGTTTTCGTAATTCCTTGTCATTATTTTATAGGTAACAAAGTTCAGGCCCACAGAGACTATAACTTACAGTCATCCCTGCCTAATCGATGGCGGAGTGTTAGCTTTCTTACTCTGGGGCCAGGGTCTCGTTCCATAAAGGAGGGAGTTATGGTCTTTGTATGTCTGCCTTAGATACTTTGGAATTAAAGCAAAAAATCAATTTCTATGCAAGATGAAGATTTCAACATGTAGTGGATATGGAAACAGAATCAAATTAAAGAACAACGCAAGCTTGGATTTTAATGAAGCTCATCTTTGTTTCTTTTGCAGATCAAATTTTTGGCTCTCATCTGCACACAGTGTGTGAACGTGAAAATTCTACAGTTCCGTGGTTTGTAAAGCAATGCATTGAAGCTGTCGAAAAAAGAGGTGGGTAACTGAATATGCAGTAGTTCCCCCCAACACTGCCCCCTCTATGCAACCAATACTCAAGTTCGCAGTGCCACTTGATTTGTCTGGGAAGCCATGCAATTAAAACTTGACTCATGTTAATCGGTTAAGAGGATCAAGTTTCTTATTAACCTCAGTTTGTTTTTACAATAGGGACATTAGTAATTCTCACTAACGTTCTTTTTTTTTTTTTTTAATATTTTGTCTGTCTGACATACTGTTGATTCAATTGCAAACTTCTTGTTTTCAAGCCAGTGATAAAACATTCATAAAATATCAGCAGTCACAGTGTTAGAACCCTCCTAACATTCATGCTGGTAGACGTTGTGCCAGAACAATTTTTGGTAAGCCCCCAACATTACCCAAGTGAAGCAAATAGCATTCCTACTCGCAGACAGTGATATCCCATCTTCCACATGTTTCTGTTCAGTACAGAATATGGCTAACTGGTTTTCCTGGAACAATTAAAAGACACACCTCCAGTGTTAGGATGACCTTTGACTCCTTTATTTCAACATTCTGTTTTTCATCTGAAATTATTTCATCTTACTGAAGAGAACAAAACAAAGCCCGATTGACTCATCATTTCTACACTAGTCTATCTGTGGAGTGTTTTTCCTTCAAACTATGACTTCGTTCATTCAAGGTCATTTTTCCTGGAAGATACAAATAGTAGATGCAGAATCTTAAAAAATGTATTGTATAAAAATGCGAAGCTTCATCACCATCTGTTACAAGTTTACAACATATTCCTAGGATCTAGGGGAATATATATCATGTAAAAGATAGAGGTGTTTTCAGAAAAAGAATTGGTGAACCTATTCCCATTTCCAGTTCCTAGTCTCTTAAAACAATAGAACCAAGGGGGGAAAAAATCTTTACCAAGTAATCTGCTAGGAAAAAGCCATTTTAAATTCTCTCAATGTTACCTGGCTTTATTATAAAAGCATAATAAAAATGGTCTGCAATTTCTAACTCCTGGAAATTCATACTTTAATTATAGTGTAAGGACAGCCTTGGGATCCCATTATTCCCCTATTGTAGGGAATGAGAGAATAACAAGAAGGGGAAGAGTGGGTAGGGAATGTGGATAAAGAGCGTGACTTTGGGGGAAGTATATCAGTACATTAGAGAGAAGAGCTGAGAGTCCAGAGAGAGGCTAGAAAATGGTAAATGCAGAAAGGGCTTGAAGAGAGGTGTCTGTGAGGAGTAAAGTCAACTGGGGTTTACAAAGAAATGCATTTTTTATTGCAAGTTGCAGTTTCATTTAATTGTATAAGTGCATATTTTAGGAATAAATATTATTTAATAAGTACTTAAAGCCAAAATGGATCACTGAGAATATTATAATGTTATTATTTCCAATAGCTAAATTGTCATCATTTCCAGGAAATCTTCATTCACTTGCAAATACTCAGCACCGATGGTGTGAGCACTGTTACATTAGACCCCAAATCCAAATATGACTTTAGGGGAAGCTGTGCGTAATAAGATGTATGCATGTAGAAAGCAGAGCGCTGTACTTCTCTATCCAAGGCAGAGCGCCGTACTTCTCTGTCCAAGGCAAAATGAAAAACTCGGCTAGATGCAGCGTTGCAGTGTGCAGATACTACAATGCTGTAGAATAGAAAATGTCTATAAGTAGAAACAGTATCTTTTGTTCATGGCATTTTCTTGGTGATTTCTCATAAAATAAGGCAATGTTTTTACTGACAGGAGCAATCACCTCTAGCATTATGTTTCATTTTCCCAATGTTTACTCTTAAATGAATTTGTAGATTCACCACTAAACAGGCGCTAATCACCCCTGTGACTATTAAAATAATTCCTAAGCATTTTAATGAAACTCAAAGACTTTACAATTCCACAAAGCAACTGATAATTCGAAGCACTTTGGTGGTGTCAACTTAAAGGAACTCTATGGAAATGCTCAATAAAAACTCAGAAGCACAAGATAAACCTCTCACATCATTGCAAGATTTACAAGTGTGTACTTTTGATTATATTTTTCTATGGTCATTTTGTTGGATTAATATTCTTACATTTATACGCCAATACTATTTACTCAAAGTGTTGTTTTTACTAAATTCTGGCATAAAGCATTTCAGGACAGAAATAATTTATGTGAATCTAAGTCCAATGTTTATGCAGGCTTCTGATGACATTTTATGCTGGGGTTGGTATTAGGAAGTAGCATATAAAGGTGCCAAGTCTCTCAGCACGGCTGAGGCTCAGCATATCTAGAGCCCTCCTTCTAATGGCCAGATCCTCTTCCAGCCAAGATACTCAACTGCAGAGTCATGGGAAATGCTTATGGACCAGTTATGGGAAAGGCACATTTAATGAAAACTGTGTGTTTACTCTCACAGTCTTAGGGAAATGGCCTCAATACTCACTACATCGGCACATTGGCTGTTATAAAAAAAAAAGATGCGTTTCCTTCTTCTTTCTCATTCTTGAGATTATCTTCCCCTCCACTTAAAAAAATCATCTATAAACAGTAGCTGTGTTTTTAAAAACTAATTCCTAAGCATTTTAATGAAACTCAAAGACTATAAACAGTAGCTGTATTTTAAAATAATGATTCCCAAGCATTTTAAAATGAAGCATTATCAGGAAGTCAGATCTCACCATTCATTCATTCATTGAATCATTCATTCATTCAGTTATTTGTCTTACCTTTTTGCATTTGACAGAACCACATTGCTCCTGCTCCTGTAGTTTCCCCAGGGAAACCCAAGTACTCAGTACTTGGTACAAGGGGCATTTTTTATTCATCCCTGGTAAAGTAGGATTAGTTACGTTTTAAGTTTTGCAACTTCTGGGCATGCCTAGAAGAGAATCTATTAGTAAACTGAATGTAAGCCAATTTAGCGAATAAACTTGGTTAGTATGTTTCCTTATTCCTCTAAACCACCGGAGCATTTTCTCCCTCACCAACTGTTATAACTAGGTTAAATTAATTTCTGTGGTTTCCAACATTGTCTGCTCAGTCTGGAAAATCCACACAAAATTTGGAGGGCAAACTGTAAAGGAGTATGTTAGTCTTTAAGGCCTTCCAAGTGGTTCCTTCTCCCTTGCCTTGCCTTACAGTGGTGACCATGTCATAATGCACCAATGAAAAACTCCAATCATGTTTCTTCTTCCAAAGTGATTTGTGTGAAAATATTGAGTCATTGTATGGCTAATATTTAATGCACATCCTAGGTACAGTGACCAAAAACCTGAGATCATCTGACACTATTTTAGGGACTTGGGGGAATACACATGTAGAGGAAAGCACTGTGACATATTGGTAGCATATAAAAATAAACAGTGAGAAGTTCATTTTTCACTCCTTTATAGAATACTTTGTATAGTTTGTAATGATGTCAATATGTATAAAAATTGCTTACTTAAAAATAGGATAACCTGTGTCTGTTAGCCACAAGGGCCTAGGAAACCTAGTACTTAGTCTAAACTAGTATAAATATGTAGTGAGACCTTGATTCATAGTCTTTTTTATGCAAAGCATGTAATTGACTGACTACCCTTTGTGAAGGTCCATTATTTGGAAAGAAGCCTTCCACAGTACATGACACATTGTAAGCACTCAATAAATATTGGCTGAATGAAGTAACAGACACTAAGTAGCTATTGAGTACCCACTGTGCGTCACTCTCCATGCTCCCAGCTGAGAATACAGAGAGACAGATATTAAACAGACACACATGAGTATGTATGTTAGCATAACTGTGATAAGTGCTATAAGAGAAAAGAACAGATACTACTAGACAGAATAACAACTACAATAATAAAAAGCAGGGAAATGTCTGTGCTTAAAAATGATTAATAATCCCTGAATAATAAACACATATTTGTCTGGTTTCGTCCTTCTTATAAGACCAGGAGAAGTTTAATTTTGCCTTAGTTCCCAGGTTTTTTTCCTGACACTTTGTGACAATGTAATATAAAGTGTCACTGGTGTGAGATATGTAAAAAGACATGTCTTAAATGGTAAAAGCCTCTTTTTCTTTTTCTTTTTTTTTGAGTTGGAGTCTCACTCTGTCGCCCAGACTGGAGTGCAGTGGCCACTACCGGCCACCACAGCCTCGACCTGCTGGGCTCCGGCAATCCTTCCGCCTCAGCCTTTCAAGTAGCTGGGACTACAGGTGTGCGCTACCGTGCCCGGCTAATTTTTTGATTTAGTGTAGAGATGAGGTCTCGCCAAGTTGCCCAGGCGGGTCTCGAACCCACGGGCTCAGGCAATCCACTCACCTCAGCCACCCAAAGGCGCGGGATTACAGGCTGAGCCACCGAGCTCGGCTAAAGCCTCTTTTTCTACCCAACAATTACCAAACATGTGTCTTGCCAAAGACTTATTTTATATAAGAATAGAGTTAACTAACTAAATAAGCATATTTCTACCCTGAACATATTTTTATGAACTAATATATTTTTGTTTGTAAGGTAGTAAGACTTTTTTTAATTTTTAATATCATTTGGATTGGTATTCTTCATTTAGAATATGGTCTAACAACTCATTCTTTCTTTATGATTCCTGGCTCTGGTGACTATGATCCCAAACTATTTAACAACACTGAAATGATACCTAGAGATCTGTTATACAATAATGTGACTAGACTGCTCACTACTGAACTATACATTTACAAGTGGTTAGGATGGTAAATTTTACGTCACGTGATTTGACAACAATTTTTTTTAAAAATGATACCATGTCTTCCAAATTTGTTATTCAAGGTATAAACTACTTTGCAGATTGCCTCAGCAGATGCTAATCAACAAGAACATTGGCCTTTCTGTCTTTTTTCTGGAACACAAAATACTATGACAGGAACGATACACAAAGTTACATATTTGACTTGGTGCCTAAAAGCCACCCTGGGATCCATAACCTTGCTTAAAGATTTAAGAAAGACCTTTAGTCTACTTCTAAGAAGGTCCTTAGCCTCAAAAACTTTATCTCTCAACTTGACTTC